ACGGATTGTACAGTTATAGAGACTAAATTGATTTTGAATTTAATAACTGCAGCAAGACTGTTGGTGGCACAATATTGGAAGAAGCAAGATTTACCTACAATCCAAGAGTGGACAATGAAAGTTATAAATCTAGCGGAAATGGCAAAAATCTCGGCGTACCTGAAGGATCATTCAAATGAAAGATATTTAAGAGACTGGAGAAGGTGGATAGATTATATTCAAAATAAATATCGGAATAAGAAATTGCAGATAGGTTATGAATGATTATATAGATATTTAGTGTGTCTTTAAGTAATAAAGCTAGGCGGGTAATTAGGGAATTGAAGAAACGAGATGTGAAATGTCATAATTGTTTAGATTAGGATTGATTATGATTGTTGAAGTTTATACCCTGTAATTTGTTCTGGGAATGGGAGGGGGGGAGGTTGAGGTAGGGAAGGGGGGGGGAAATATGTAAACTTTTTGTAAAACTTTTCAATAAAAAAAAAAAAAAAAAAGCTAGGAGAACCTTACCAAAGACTCTTTTTAAAATGACAGAGGAACTAGGAATTAAAGATGCTTGGAGGGAATTACAGTCAGAGAAAAAACAATATACTTTTTATTCAAATATGCATAAATCATGGTCGAGAATTGACATGACATCGATATCACCGGAACTGCAAGAGAATATACAAGAAGTAGATGTGGAGTCAAGTATCTGGGCAGCCCATAACCCAATAAAAGTAAAATGGAAAGGTCAAACAAGAAAACCAAGATGGACATTAAAGCAGCCAGCATTGGAAGATAAAGAGTTTATAAAGAAAATGGAGAAGGAAATGGAGTTCTTTTTCAAAGAGAATAAAAATGGAGAAACGTCCCTACAAAATGTATGAGTTACTGCTAAGGCATATTTCAGGGGATTAGCAATCTATATAGGAAGGAAAAATAAAGAGAAGAAGAAAAGGCGAAAAGAATTAGAAGAAGAATATAAAAAGACTGGAATCGGAATTACAGAGAGACCTGCAAAAAAGAAATGACAAAAACCAAATGGAACTAGTAAAACATGAATTAAGTATTTTAGAGAAAGAGGAACTGGTACAAAAAAATCAAAGCAGCTAAACAAAACTTATTTGAAAAAGCAAATAATCCGGGGAGATGGTTGGCATTCAGACTCAAAAAAGAGAAAGAAAAGAAATTGATACAAAAGTTATGAGACGAGACAGGTACAACTTGACACAAAAATGAAGACAAAAATAATAATAATAAAAGAATTTTATAAAAAATTATATAGCAAAGAAAATATACCAGAAGATAAAATTAAACAATATATGGAAGAAGTCAACTTACCCAAAGTGCCGGACAAAGTAAAACCAATGTTGAATGAAAAAATTACAATGATGGAGTTAACAGAAGCAATTAAAAGACAAAAAACCAAGAAGATACCAGGACCAGATGGCCTACTGGCAGAATTTTATAAACACTTACAAGAGATCTTAGGTTCATCCATGCTTGAAATCTACAATGAAGTATTGTCAGAAGCAAAGATCCCTAAAACATGGATAGAGGCAATTATAACATTGATACCTAAAGAAGTTTCTGATTTATTACAAATTAAAAAATTACAGACCGATATTATTGTTAAATGTAGATTACAAAATCTATGCCTTAATAATTGCAGAAAGACTGAAAAGATTTTTAAATGACTTCATACACACAGACCAGAATAGCTTCCTACCTAAGAGGCAAATCAAAAACAACATGCGGATGATTCTGAACACACTGGAATACTATGAGACACATTCAGGAAAGCAGATGACTATGATTTTTCTGGATGCACAGAAAGCATTTGATAATTTGAGTTGGCAGTTTATGTTTGTGCAATTAAAATATATGGACTTTGGAGAGAAATTTACCAACATGATTAAAATACTATACCGTAGACAAATAGCAAAGGTGATTGTGAATGGTGACATGACTGAGAATTTCAACATAACAAAAGGCACAAGGCAAGGTTGTCTCCTATCCTCACTGTTATTTATACTGACTTTAGAGGTATTAGCCAGAAATGTCAGACAAAATAATGAAATAAAAGATATGAGAATTAAGAAAGAGTAGTACAAGTTACAGGCCTTTCCCGATGACTTGATGTTTATTTTTGAAGACCCACAGGAAACAAGATCTAAACTAATCACAAAGATAGAAGAATATTGGGCGGTTGAAGGTTTGAAAATAAATAAAGAAAAAATGAAAATATTGGTTAAAAATTTTACAGATGAACAAAAGAGAGAATTTACAAGAACAATGAACATGCAAATTGTAAAGAACTTCAAATACCTAGGGGTTCAATTAACAGCAAGATGTGCTACTCTCAAAGAAGATAATTAACTGAAAGCACAAATTAAAACGGATTTGGAAAATTGGCAAAGCCTACAATTGTCCCTATTAGGTAGAATAGCCACAATCAAGATGAATATTCTGTTGAGATTATTATACCTGTTTCAGACGATCCCAGTAAAATTAGAGAAAAAATTACTTTGAAGACCTAAATAAGATGATACTAAAATTTGTATGACAAGGAAAAAAGGCAAGCATAAAAGTTAAAATGTTACAAGATTTTAAAAGTAGAGGAGGTTTCAGTCTTCCAGTTTGGGAACTATATTACCAAGCATCGGCACTCGTGGGTGAAAAAATGGGTTAATTTGAGGAATATAAGGCTATTAACATTGGAAGGTCATGATTTGCAATTGGGATGGCATGCCTTCTTATGGTACGAGAAGAGCAAGATACACAGCTACTTCCAAAGCCATCACATTAGAAATGCATTACTGCTAGCATGGACCAAGATCAAAGAACAACACTGCTTGAAAGCGCCAGTATGGTTATCTATAATGAAGGCATGGATATATCCTAATGTCATAAATATGGATAAAATTATAAGATACAAGAACATATTAAATGAAAAGGGAGAACTAAAAACAAAAAAACTAAAAAGATTAGGGATTGACCTATCATGGTGGCCACAGTTGCAGATACAATCAGGTATGAAAAAGATAGGCAGGAGTATGGGTTTTATAATGAACCAAATGAGCTAGACCAGATTCTAATGGGAACAGATGAAAATTAATTAAGAGGATATACCATGTTTCCCTGAAAATAAGACCCGGTCTTATATTTTTTTGAACCCCGAAATAAGCGCTTGGCCTTATTTTCGGGGAGGTCTTATTATTTTGGGGCATGGAGCAAGACTCCTTGCCATCTTACCTCATTTCCAGCTCTGTCTCCCTAACCCTAACCAGAAGAAATAGGGGGACCGGCTGTGCCTGCGTTTAAATATTTTCGGGGAGGGCTTATTTTTTGGGGGGGGCTTATTTTAGTGCATGTCTCAAAAGCCCGATTGGGCTTATTATCTGGGGATGTCTTATTTTCAGGGAAATAGGGTACCATTATTTATTAAATTACTAATTGGAGGAAGAACAAGTAAAATAAACTATGATAATTTGGGCTAAGAATTTTGGCTATACAGTAGATTTGGACAGGTGGCAGAAATTATGGGATAGAAATCATAAACTCACAATGTCAACAGCATATAAAGAAAACCTCTATAAAATGTTTTATAGATGGCATTATTCACCTGCAAGTTTAGCGAATATATATAACAATAAATCTGTTAAATATTAGAAATGCAACTGGATACCAGGCTCATATTATCATATGTGGTGGATGTGTCCCAAAGCAAAAAAATACTGGAAGAAAATACGCATGTAGCTGGAAATTATAACAAAATAATTTGAATAGATTTGAAACCTGAGACATTCTTGTTGGGCATGCTTCCAGGAAACTATAATAAGAGTAACACATATTTAATTTTACATGTCCTGACAGCAGCCAGGATTATATATGCACAAAACTGGAAAAATCCAGAAACCTCTACAGATGACCGAAAAAATTCTGGAATGTGGAGAAATGAATAGGTTAACCCTAAAAATCAAAGGAAAAGAAGACTTGGAATATTTTATAACATGGCAACTATTCTATAAATGGTTAAGTGACAGTTACTGAGGTTAGAGAAGCGGATTTATATGAAATATGGACTACATGAGAAAGAAAAACTGATGAGTAAATATTTTGATGGTTATATAATCGATACTATAATGGAAGATAATATACTTTTTAATAATGATTGATATCGCATATATGTTTATGTATATATGATTATAATGATTATGATGATGATGTTTATATGTTAACACTTTGGACACCTAGAAAACACTGTTCAACATAGAAATGGAATATGTGATATAAAACAATAAAAAATATTTAACAACAAAAAAAAAGAAATAAGTTGTAGAACTTTTCTGGAAAAAATCTTAGGAATATAACAATATTTGCTAGTAATTTTGAAGGAAGGTATATAGATACTAAAATATTTAAGCACTGTAACATATGAGATTATATAAATATTGCAGCCAAAATTGATTATTGTAAATATTGAAAAGTAATAACAATCAGAAATTGAATAGAAAAACATTGTATAGCTACTTTAATCCATTATTCTTTATGATAGGCAATGCTATCATAATGAGTGTAATTTGGATTAAACTGGTCAAATATTATTGGAAAAAAAATCTGCTTTTTATTACACCATAACCAGAAACATTTTTCAATTAGGTTATATCATCTTATATTCATAGTATATTGCAATTGATATTGTATTAATGTAGAAGTTTCATATAAAAGCAGAAGCTGAATTTAAATACAGTGATATGCTGCTTCATGACAGCATTCAAATAATATTTTTTTGGACCTTGAAGAGAGAGACAATATTCTGGGGTCCTAAAAAACATTAAGGCAAATAGAGAAGACAGAGCAGGATTAAGTGGAGCAAGACAAACTAGGTGAACACCCTGCGTGCTTGGCAGAATTTCCTTTTCTTGTGCTTTATAATAAAATACTATTCTTATAACCCTTACTTTGGTTTTGAATTTTTTCTTTGTATTAAACTCTGTTGTTTCTCTCCATAGGTTGAAGATCTATTTTACAATATAGCCACCAGGAGAAAAGCTTTTACAAATTCTTGTGAAGAATATGCAAAAATACTGGATGTTGTCAGCAGGTGATCTACTTAACAGGAGGGTTACTTTTTGTTAGATTGGAACATTTTTTTCCTTTTAGCTAAGAATTATATCTTTGATAAATTAAAAATCCATGCAGCAATAGAGATGACTTTATGATATACAAACTATATACCATAGGTTTGAGAAGATAGTCTCATAATCATTGAGGAAAATTCAAGAACAATTGGTACAAATATTTGAAAGTAACTGTAAAAATACTAACACTAATAGGCCTAGTGAGTTTCTTCTGTTCTCATGGTTGTAAAGCCACCAAAGACTGTGCCAAAAGATAATAGAACATTTGTTCTGAGTCACAGTTGATTAGTTAGTTCAATAAAGTAAACTAATAATTAATCAATAATTAGCCCTTGGGCCATATCAAAATGCAGCGTTCTAGACACAAATTATTACTAAAATCTGATAAAAACAATTTAAAATGTAATTGGATAAAATACAATTTAAAGTAAAATTGGAATAAAATACAGTTTAAAATTAAATTGGAATAAAATACAATAATTTAATATATAGATAAATAAAATATAAAATTATAGTTGATTACAAGTCATTAAACATTCCTTTGAAAGTGTTTATTTAATTTTAGATCTAATTATTTAGCAACTGTTCCCTCCCCCACTAATATATAATAAAACTTAAACGTGTGTCATGATGTTATCATGTTAAAAAAATTGTTCCACTTCATGATTGTTGCTTTGCGGCAGTGAAATTTGATGCCATGATGTCTTTTTACTTTTACCATACATTACCAAACATTCTTCGACAGCCATATACCTTCCATACCCTTTTATGGATTAGGCCTTACTCAATTTGATATCTCAATATCAGTTTACATGTGCTTCACTAATAGTTTTTTCAATGTCTGTTTGGCTATCTACATTTGTTTTTCTATTTATGTATTTCACACATCAGGTATGCCATTCACAACTCTGGAATCAGTTTTTCTGTTAAAAAGGTAAAACATATTTTTTCTTCATATTTCTAAAATAGTATTATATTTGAATGTTTAATAAAATAATTTTAAAACCTCTAGGGAGTAAATGTGCAGATCAAGTTCATTTACAAAAGTATAAGAGATTATTTTTGATTTCAGAGTCTTTAAAATATGAACTGATTTATTTTAAGTAACATTGTTTATTAAGGTTCCTTAAATTTACGTTCCAATAAACACCTATGTAGGAAGCAAATCTGAATACAAATAGATGATTCTAATAGTTTGCATGTGTACATATATGGATGTTATGTTAATGTTCTTAGAGCTAATTTATTTTTGTATTCATAAAGTCCTTGCCAACCAGTCAACTTCCTCCATATCTCCTGTACTAATGGAGTTATCTAATATGAGTGTTCCCTTAGCAAAGTTCCGGGCCTCCTTTTTCGCTGAACTGCATGAGGACTGCTTCAGCGACAAAAAAGGCCCAGAGGGCTGCGCACGCCATTCCAGGCCTCCTTCCTCGCTGCCGAACTTCTTGAGGATGGCTTCGGCGACGAAAAAGGAGGCTCAGAGGGCCACGTACGCCATTACGGGCCTCTTTTACCACCTCCAAAGTGCTTGAGGAAGGCTTCGGCAATTAAAAAGGAGGGAGCAGGCAAAGAAACAGGCTGGAGAAGAGACAGATCTTCATCAGGTAAGTGACCCAGCGTGGCAGGATGGGGGGTATGCCCAATTGTGGGGATCCCAGGGGAGGGAGAAAGAGGTATCTGTGGTTGGGGGAGACCTTGGGTAGTTTGAAGCAGGTGGCCTGTTCCATCACTAGGCCCCCTCATGGCCTTCCCCACCCCGAGATACCTCATGTGCACTTAACAAGCTGCACATTCTATTAGCAAATGCATGGCAAAAGGGAATGATCAAGTTCAAGGTCCTAGATTCACTCCCACAAATCCTCAGGTTACAAATGGAACAGGCAGGCTCCATTACATTCGTAATTCTAGGACTACCTGTATTCATTAAAGCATACAGAGGTGCAGCTGTTTAATAGTTGGATTAGAAATTATCAGCCAAGTCGGTTAGAAAGGAAAATATTAAAAAATACCAATTTCTAAGTTTTTATCACCAAAATAATTCAGAAAAACTTTATTTTCTGTCATTATTATGTTTTCTGACAAATTCATGTATTAAGAAGCAGACACAACACTGTCAAGTCTACAATAGAAATCCTGTGGAACTGAGTAACTTTAGTTATATTAAGAATGGGGATTTCTGCAGGAATTGCATAGCTCAGGTGCCATAACCAGATGTACACAGATCTATTGATTGGCTCCCTTCATTGGCCAGAGAAGAAACCTGCTGATACCTGTGACCAGATTGTTTAATGTTCTAGTTAAAAGCAGCTCAGACACCACTGAGATGAGATCCTGTATAAAAAGTAATCCTTCATGGATTACTGCCTTGTTGTGGAGAAGGGGCTTGTGTAGCTCAATGAAGCTATGAGCTATGCCGTGCAGGGCCACCCAAAGCGGACAGGTCATAGCAGAGACTCTGACAAAACATGATCCACTGGAGAAAGAAATGACAACCTACTCCAGTATCTTTGCCATGAAGACCCCATGGACAGTACCAAAAGGCAAAAAGATACGACGCTGAAAGATGAGCCCCTCAGGTCAGAAGGTGTCCAATATGCTACTGGGGAAGAGCAGAGGGCTAGTACCAGAAAGAGTGAAGCGATTGGGCTGAAGCCAAAAGGATGCTCAGCTGTGGATGCATCTGGTGTTGAAGGAAAATCTGATGCTCTAAAGATCTATACTCCATAGGAACCTGGAATGTAAGATCCATGAATCAAGGCAAGCCGGACGTGGTCAAACAAGAGATGACAAGACTGAACATTGACATCTTAGGAATGAACAAACTAAAATGGACAGGAATGGGTGAATTTAATTCAGATGACCATCAGGTATACTACTGTGGGCAAGAATTCCTCAGAAGAATGGAGTTGCCTTCATAATCAATAAAAGAATAGGAAAAGCAATACTGGGATACAATCCCCAAAATGACAGAATTATCTCAGTTCGAATCCAAGGCAAACCATTCAATATCACAGTAGTCCAAGTCTATGCCCCAACCACTGGTGTTGAAGAGGATGAATTGACCGGTTCTATGAAGCCCTACAGCACCTTATAGAATTAACACCAAAAAATGATGTCTTTATCATCATGGGGGATTGGAATGCTAAAGTAGGAAGCCAAAAGATAACCGGAATAACAGGCAAGTTTGGGCTTGGAGTACAAAATGAAGCAGGGCACAGGCTGATAGAATTTTGTCAAGAGAATACGTCATAGCAAACAGTCTTTTCCAACAACCCAAGAGACAACTCTACACATGGACATCACCAGATGGTCAACACAGAAATCAGATTGACTATGTGCTCTGCAGCCAAAGATGGAAAAGCTCTATACAGTCAGTAAAAACATGACCAGGAGCTGACTGTGGCTCAGATCATGAGCTTCTCGTGGCAAAATTTAGGCTTAAATTGAAGAAAGTAGAGAAAAGCACTAGGCCATTCAGGTATGAACTAAATCATACCCTTGATGAATATACAGTAGAGGTGACAAATAGATTTAAGGAGTTAGATCTGATAGATAGAGTGCCTAAAGAACTATGGATGGAGGTTTGCAACATTGTACAAGAGGTAGCAACTAAAACCATCCCAAAGAAAAAGAAATGCAAGAAAGCAAAATGGTTATCTGAGGAAGCTTTGCAAATAGCTGAGGAAAGAAGGGAAGCGAAAGGCAAGGGAGAAAGTGAAAGATACACCCAATTGAATGCAGAATTCCAGAGAATAGCTAGAAGAGATAAGAATACTTTCTTAAATAAACAGTGCAAAGAATAGAAGAAAACAATAGAATAGGGAGGACCAGAGATCTCTCCAAGAAAATTGGAGATATGAAGGGAACGTTTCATGCAAAGATGGGCATGATAAAGGACCAAAATGGCAGGGACCTAACAGAGGCAGAAGAGATTAAGAAGAGATGGCAAAATTACACAGAAGAACTATACAAGAACGAGCTTAACATCCCTCATAACCACGATGGGGTGGTCACTGACCTCGAGCCAGACATCCTAGAATGTGAAATCAAACAGGCCTTAGGAAATCTGAGCAACAACAAAGCTAGTGGAGGTGACAGTATTCCAGCTGAGCTATTCAAAATCTTAAAAGACGATGCAGTAAAAGTGCTACGCTCAATTTGCCAGCAAATTTGGAAAACTCAATCGTGGCCACAGGATTGGAGAAGATTAGTTTACATTCCAATTCCAAAGAAAGGCAATGCCAAAGAATGTTCAAACTATCGCACCATTGCACTCATTTTAAATGCTAGTAAGGTTATACTTAAAAGCCGACAAGCTAGGCTCCAGCAGTATGTGGATTGAGAACTACCAGAAGTACAGGCAGAATTGAGAAGAGGCAGAGGAACTAGAGATCAAATTGCCAATATACGCTGGATCATGGAGAAAGCTAGGGAGTTTCAGAAAAACATCTACTGCTTCATTGAGTATGCTAAAGCCTTTGATTGTGTGGATCACAACAAATTGTGGCATGTTCTTAAAGAGATGGGAGTACCGACCATCCTATTTGTCTCTTGAGAAACCTATATGTGGGTCAAGAAGCAACAGTGAGAACTGGACATGGAACCACTGATTGGTTCAAAATTGGGAAAGGAGTCCGGCTGTATACTGTCACCCTTGCCTATTGATTGATTGATTGATTGATTCGATTTATATGCCGCCCTTCTCCGGAGACTCAGGGCGGTTTACAATGTGTTAAGCAATAGCCTTCATACTTTTGTATATACCTGCTTAGTAGGGCTTTTGGGCGCCCCCTAAGCGGTGTTCTTTTTTATACAAAGTCAGCTTATTGCCCCCACAATCCGGATCCTCATTTTACCTACCTCAAAAGTACAGAAGGCTGAGTCAACTTTGAGCCTGGTGAGATTTAGCTTGCAGTAATTGCAGGCAGCTGGTGCTACTTAACAGCACTTTAGTCTGTTGCGCCACCAACTTTTTTTTTTTAAATTTGATTTATATGCCGCCCTTCTCCGGAGACTCAGGGCGGCTTACAATGCGCTAAGCAATAGTCTTCATTCTTTTGTATATTTATACAAAGTCATCTTATTGCCCCCACAACTGGGTCCTCAATTTACCTATCTTAGAAATGATGGAAGGCTGAGTCAACCTTGAGCCTTGGCGAGATTCGAACCTGCAGTAATTGCAGGCAGCTGTTCTTAATAAGAGGGTGCTTTAGACCACTGTATTACCAAGGCTCTTAACTTATATTCAGAACACATCATGAGAAAGGCGGGGTTAGATGAATCAAAAGTTGGAATTAAGATTGCCGGGAGAAATATCAACAATCTCAGATAGGCAGATGATACCACTCTAATGGCAGACAGTGAAGAGGAACTAAAGAGCCTCTTGATGCGGGTGAAGAAGGAGACTGCAAAAGTTGGCTTGAAAGTCAACATTAAGAAAACTAAGATCATGGCATCCGTCCCTCTCAATTCCTGGCAAATAGATAGGGAAGAAATGGAGGTAGTGACAGATTTTATTTTTCTGGGCTTCAAGATCACCGCAGATGGGGACTGCAGCCAAGAAATTAAGATGCTTGCTCCTGGGAAGGAAAGCTATGACAAATCTAGACAGCATACTAAAAAGCAGAGACATCACCCTGCCAACAAAAGTGCGTGTAGTCAAGGCTATGGTTTTCCCAGTTGCAATGTATGGCTGCAAAGGTTGAGTGCCAAAGAATTGAGGCCTCTTTTTTTTTTTAAAAAACAAAACATAAAACAAAAATCCATCATCCATTACAATTGCAAACAGTGTGTCGGTTGGTTATAAATCTTTTGTGCTTCATCCCCATATTCAGAATTACTAATTATCTAATTTCTCATATTGTCAAACAAATAAACATCCTCATTTCTCATTTATTTAACTATGGCTTTATCGCTTCATAAAAATTATTTTCAAATATTATATTTATAACATTCATTTCATGTTTCATATTTCATTTCCATTTTTTATTATCTAGCCATTGATAAAAGAGCCTTGGTGGTGCAGCAGATTAAGTGCTGTTATGTAGCACTTAGCAGCCACCTGCCTGCAATTAGTGCAAGTTCAAATCTCACCAGGCTCAAGGTTGACTCCGCCTTCCATCCTTCCGAGGTAGGTAAATTGAGGACCCGGATTATGGGGGCAATAAACTGACTGTAGAAACACCGCTTATGGGGGCCAAAAGCCCTAATAAGCAGATATATACAAAAGAATGAAGGCTATTGCTATAAGTGCATTGTAAGCCACCCAGAGTCTTCGGAGAAGGGTGGCATATAAATTGAACAAATAAATAAATAAATAAATAAATAAATAAATAAATAAATAAATAAATAATAAGTAAGTAAGTAAGTAAGTAAGTAAGTAAGTAAGTAAGTAAATAAATAAATAATAAAATAAATCCCATTTCTTATAATATTGTTTATCTTCTTGTTCACTAATTTCAAATGTCAATTTACTCATTTCAGCACATTCCATGATTTTCTTAATAACTTCCTCTTGCGTTGGTATTTTCTCATTTTTCCAGTTTTTAGCAAACACAATTCTGGCCGCTGTTAAAACACTCATAGTCAAATATCTCAAGAATTGAGGCCTTTGAACCAGTGGTGAAATGTAAAATTTGTTACTACCGATTCTGTGGGCGTGGCTTGGTGGTGGGGGTAATATGACTGAGTAGGCGTGGCCAACTTTTTTTAAAAAAAACTTTTAAAACCATTTTTTCTACAACCTCTTCGGCTGAAGAGGTTAAAAAAATGCTTTTAAAGTCTCTGTCGATCCCAGCTGAGTTGCCTGATCAGCAGAGGCTTTTTTTCCCTTTAAAAACATTTTTTCTATAACCTTTTCGGCTGAAGAGGTTGTAGAAAAAATGCTTTTAAAAGCCTCTGATGATCCCAGCTGAGCCGCACGATCATCAGAGGCTTTTTTTTTACTTTTAAAAGCATTTTTTTGGCCAAAGAGATTGTAGAAAAAATGCTTTTAAAAATAAAATACCGCCTCTGATGATTGCGCGGCTCAGCTGGGCAATGGGGGAGGCAGGAATTTTTGCTACCAGTTCTCCAAACCACCCGCCTCCATCGCTACCGGATCAGACGATCCGGTCCAAACCAGGAACATTTCACCTCTGCTTTGAACTATGGTGCTGGAGAAGACTCCTGCGAGTCCCTTGGACTGCAAGGCGATCAAACTGGTCAGTCCTAGAGGAGATCAACCCTGACTGCTCAGGGTTAGAAGGCCAGGTCCTGAAGATGAAACTCAAATACTTTGGCCACCTAATTGAGAAGGAAGGACTCACTGGAGAAATGCCTAATGCTGGGAAAGATTGAGGGCAAAAGAAGAAGGGGACAACAGAGAATGAGGTGGTTGGATGGAGTCACTGAAGCAGTAGGTGTGAGCTTAAATGGACACCAGAGGATGGTAGAGGACAGGAAAGTCTGGAGGAACATTGTCCATGGGGTCGTGATGAGTCAAACACGACTTTGCAACTAACAACAACAACATAAAAAGAGAAAGGGAAAAGTAATATTAGAGCAGAGGTGAGAAAAAGGAGAAAAGGCTCCAGGAAAAGGGACTTATATGAGCAAATCAGTGACAGAAATTTCTGTCTCTTTAATTGATTGTTTTCACACAGAGCAGCATCCACTGCCAGTTTTTTTCCTGGTTTTCAGTAAAAATGTACATGTAGTCCTTGACTTATGACCACAATTGACCCCAAAATTTCCGATGCTAAACAAGACAGTTGTTAAGTGAGTTTTGCCCCACTTTATGACCTTTCTTGCCACAGTTATCAAGTGCTTCTGTGCAGTTATTAATTAATAACATGGTTGTTAAGTGAATTTGGCTTCCCCATTTGACTTTGCTTGTCAGAAAGTCACAAAAGATGATCACATAAACCATCATAAATAAATTTCAGTTGTCAAATCCCCGAATTTTGATCATATGACCATGGAGGTACTGCAAAGTTGTAATTGTGAAAAAAGGTCATAACTCACTTTTTTCAGTGCTTGAATGGTCACTAAATGAATGACTGTAAGTCTGGAACAACCTATAATTTATTCTGGTCCCTGCCACATGTCCATCCTTATTTGTTCAATATTGCTAAGTATCAGAGGCTGAAATAAGGGAGAAAGACTAGCCATTGATACAGAGTTGGGGCTGGAGGGAAAAAGTCCTCAAGTCTTTCTCTATCTTCTTATGGAAGAGTGAATTTATATATCTAAAAAGGGGTTTTATAAATAGTGCAATCCAACTCATATTATTAGAAGCAAAAGACTTCATCCACTATTTTCCAAAAGTGTGACAGAAAGAGATGTGTTATCTGTTTTGAGTAGCCTGTATACATATATGTGTATGATTGACATTTAAAAGCAGATACTGTTCAGAATTCTTTTGTTGTCACCTTAATCTTCCTTTAATTTAAACAAAGCGCAAGGAGACATGTTACATGGAAGATGGTTACCATATTTTTTGCCGTATAAGACGCACCTTTTCCCCCCTAAAAGGGGGTGAAAATTTAGGTGCATCTTATACACCGAATGTAGCCTCGCCCACCCATTGGCCTCTGCCTCGCAGCAGTTACTTCCTTGCAAGCAAACAGCAAGAAGAAACAGCTCCTTTCAGCTTCAGCACATCCTAATTAGCACAAGTTGATTGGATCGGCCTCCCAACGCTCAGCTGATTTGCTCTCAGCTGTTTTGCGCAGGGCTCTGCTGCTTGCTGCAAAGAGGTAAATTGCTGGAGCAGATTTTTTCCCCCCTTGTGCTAATCAACCTATAATGAAAATGAAAGTAAAGCAGGCTGTTTGCTGTTTGCTGCAACTAGGAAAAATTACGCAGAGGCAGAGGGAGATTTCTTTTTCTTCTTTTCCTCACCAAAAAAGGTAGGGGCGTCTTATACTCCGGTGAGTCTTATACTCTGAAAAATACGGTAATTCTCTTGTACTTAATATAAAAACATTTATAAGAAGATACACTGAAAGTTAGTTCTCCAGAGTCAAGAATAATGATGACATTGCTTTGATAAGATTAGGAATGAAAGAAAACAATTAAGCTTTCACATGAGAGACTACGTATGCTGCTTTGTGCAGGGATCCTTAAACCTTGCCTTTCCAAAAAAAAGGTGATTTTGCAAGCAAAATGTTTATAGAAGATGCACAAAATCCCAGGAAAATTATGTGAATTTCTATTCATCTACTTTTTCCATATATATATTAAAAGCATTGGTAATTGCAAGCTATCTTCTCTTTGTAGCAAGGCGAGACAGTTGCAGATGTAAGAACACTATCAAGTAATACAACTATCGACAATATTCGGTCCGTCTTTGGAAATGCTGTTAGCAGGTATAGTTAAAATGTGATACAATATAATTATGAGTATTACTATGCCCATAAATTTATTTCTTTATTTATTTGTTTGTTTATTTATTTATTTATTATATTTCTATACCGCCTTTCTCCCGTAGGACTCAAGGCAGTGTACAGTCAAGAAAAATATAGACACACAAACATCATAAAATTGCTAATTAAAATTATTACTTAGTTTGGTCAATTAAATAAAACCCAGAATTAGATAACATTTTAAAAAATCATTCACATGTTCAAATTGAGTGTAGCAAGATGTAATGGTTCACATACTACCCTAGATGGAAAATAGATGGACATCTACTTTCTAGATGGAAAGACATCTTCAGCCTTAGAAATTCACTGGAGGATTTTGCACAAGCATTAGCTGTTAACATACGGTATCAGGGTTGCTATTATGAGAAAATTTGGAAGAAGAATGCTTTATATGCCACAGGAATTCCTGGAGGAATGGTGGAATATAAATTCTACCACTTAAAATAAAAAATCCCAGCTAAATTTTTTGAAAAGTGGCAATTTATGGAAAATACAATACAATAGATCAAAGATTTTGTTGGAAAAAGTGGAAAGTACTGTGTATACCATCTCAATTCCTAGAGAAATGATAAGATATAATTCAATTTTAGTTTTTTAAAAATCTGGTTTTAGTAGATGCAACTGGCTGAGGTAGCTAAAGATGATCCCTTTGTTGTGTCTCTTTTCTGGAGAGAGCTATTGGGTTGTGCTAAAAAGAGTGATTAGACTGTAAAAAATCAGGCAGGTGTGCCTTTCATGAATGGTTGGATCTATTTCAAACAAAACATCCATAACTAACTTTTCAGTTCTTTGAGGTTTTCCCTTATAGTAATTGGAAGAATCTTTTCCATAATCAAACAGGTAATGCAGAAAGGAGGCTTATTATTTTTTTCCTGTAGAATTCTTCTCAGCCTTATCATAGATATCAGAGTGAGACTTTTCTTCATTATATAAATGGTAATTATAGTTTTGGACTGAACAGCTGCTCTTTCTGTTAAGCTAGCAGAAGTAGGCTTACATGACCATGAAGTGCTTTCCAAGATGGCGGCAATGGAGGAAGCACAGTTACATCACGGGGAGAAAAGTTGCTATTAAACTAGGTAGAAGAGATGGAGAGGGAAAGATAAGCCATAGAAAAAGAAAAAAGACTGGAGAAAGGAAAAGGAGAGGAAGATTGAGCGGAGGAGCAAACTGACTGCAGGCAGCAAAACCGACCGGTAAAGAACAAAGAGGTGAACCGCTGAACGAGTGGGGCCAGCTGCAGATTAGGGTGGAATATCAGCTGTGGGGCGGAGAGGCCAGCAGACTGAGGGCAGTGCAATGACCGTCAAAGAACAAAGAGGCGAGCTGGTGAGAGTGGTGCAGAGAGGAGAAGAGAGGAGAGGTGAGCTTACTGTGTATCATCCAGGCGGATTATGGGAAAGGTTCTATTTGCTGGTGAAGCAGCATACCGGCACAATGGACCAGACTGACAATGTTTGGAAACTTGGCTCATCGATTTCCAGTTAAACAATTTTTTAAAATATGGTCTGCAAAACAGTTCATATAAGGTCATGACTACGGCTAATGGAAATTTGAAGGATAGCTCTCACTCATCCAAATTTTAACTTTTTATAAGTGGCGGACATGAAATGTAAAATGAGTTTTAATTTGAACGGTTTGAATACCCACTATAGATCTCCTGCGTGAGCAGGAGGTTGGACTAGATGACCTCCAAGGTCCTTTCCTACTCAGTTACTGTTACTGAACCCAGCAAATGGGAGCCATGTGGCTGCAGAGCAAAAAGCAGGAGCAGCACAGCAGGGAGAAGAGCGAGTAGCAGCAAGGGGTAGCACAGCGAGCTAGAGCCTGAGAGCAGTGCAGAGAGCAATGGGGAAAGAGACGGTGGAGCTGAACAGAGGGCTGAGTGGAGCAGACCAGACAGCAGAGCTGAGACGACCAGAAAACTGCACGGCACGCCAAAAGAGCTGACCAGAGCAGAGATGAGGCTGAAAAGACCCGAGCACCAAAAGACAAAACGGAGCTGGCAGAGAAAATGACATGAGGCCAGAGCAGCAATCGATGGAAGTGAAGGCAACAAATTAAGCCAGAGGCCCCAAAAGGCAGGGAGGGAAGACTCTGGTAGAGAATAAAAATAAATATAGGACAGCAAATGAAAGATAAATAAATAGGCAATTAATAAGGGCAAGAGTGGAACATTAGAAATGAAGGAAGAACAAGATCAATCAAATAAATCTTAAATAATAAGATAGGGAGGAATTGGAGCTCAAAACCTTAAAAAAAATATAGGAAAGAATAGGATAAATAAAACTACCATAACAGTAAGCAAGTTAAATAAATAACAAGGCAGAAAAACAAGCACAAAAAGGCAGGAAAAAAAATAGAAAAAAAAGAAAAGAAACACAATTTTTTTTATCCCTAAAAGAACCAGCAATAAGAAACTCATGGAACAAATGACTGATACTATTGTGGTAAGCAATACATGTTCCATGTATATGCTTATGACCAAAGAACACCCAAATTATACATGTATTAAATGTAAAGAGGAAAAAGCAAGAGATCCAGAGACAATTCTAGCTGAACTTCAACCTACACAAGAAAGGTATACCCAAATTGAACCAAATAATGAACAAATAACCCAGAGGATTTGATCCTGCTGATAAATCCTTGGAGGAAGACAAATGGAGGTATGTCACACAAGAAGGAAACACAATCAGAAAGAAGCAGCATACATCTAATAAACCCCTACTGGCCAATCTAACCCAACCAGAAACAGCCCCATTAAAACTGAGCAATCGATTTCTCCCCCTAGATGAAAATACACAGACCCACAACCTCCCCTTCCAAAAATATACGCAGACCCATAACCTCCCCCTCCAAAATATGCAGACACCTAGAAAAGAGAGATATCAACATAAAAAAGTCACATCAACAAACACACCTGAGATAAATAGAAAAGCATCTCAGACTGCACCGCCCAAATTGGTGATAGGAGATTGTATTCTGAAAGGAACAACCAGCTATCTGCGGACCAGACGTATAATCTAGGGAGGTAAAGTGGGGCAAAAAAGTATTTAGTCAGCCACCAATTGTGCAAGTTCTCCCACTTAAAAAGATGAGAGAGGCCTGTAATTGTCATCATAGGTAGACCTCAACTATGAGAGACAAAATGAGAAAACAAATCCAGACTGCTTTGGAAAGAATTTATTTGCAAATTATGGTGGAAAATAAGTATTTGGTCAATATCAAAAGTTCATTTCAATACTTTGTTATATATCCTTTGTTGGCAATGACAGAGGTCAAACGTTTTCTGTAAGTCTTCACAAGGTTGGCACACACTGTTGCTGGTATGTTGGCCCATTCCTTCATGCAGATCTCCTCTAGAGCAGTGATGTTTTGGAGCTGTCGCTGGGCAACACGAACTTTCAACTCCCTCCAAAGGTTTTCTATGGGGTTGAGATCTGGAGACTGGCTAGGCCACTCCAGGACCTTGAAATGCTTCTTACGAAGCCACTCCTTCGTTGCCCAGGCGGTGTGTTTGGGATCATTGTCATGCTGAAAGACCCAGCCACGTTTCATCTTCAATGCGCTTGCTGATGGAAGGAGGTTTGCACTCAAAATCTCACGATACATGGCCCCATTCATTCTTTCCTGTACACGGATCAGTTGTCCTGGTCCCTTTGCAGAGAAACAGCCCCAAAGCATGATGTTGCCACCCCCATGCTTCACAGTAGGTATGGTGTTCTTTAGATGCAACTCAGCATTCTCTCTTCTCCAAACATGATGAGTTGTGTTTCTACCAAACAGTTCTACTTTGGTTTCATCTGATCATATGACATTCTCCCAATCGTCTAACTCTCACTTTCACGCCCACAATAAAGGCGCCATCTTCAGCCTCCAACTCAAAGAGATTCAATTAGAAACAATGTAAACCCGGAGTTAAGCAATGTTACTTGTAAATGCTTGTTCTCCTGTTTCCGCTCTGTCTGCGCTTGTATTCAGTCAAACTCACTTTTGCTTGCAGAATTGGTCGCGACGTCTGGCTCTGTTTAAAACAGAGTTGTCCCGAATCCGGAGCTTCAGTGGGCTGATAGGGGAGCTCTCACCCTCCAAGCCTCTGGAATTATTCCAGAGGACTTTTGGGGAGCTCTACCCGCACCCACCGGCTCTCCTCTCCTTCTTCTCCCGATGGAGAGGTTTTGAAGCCGCCAGACAGCTGCTTAACGCTGTCAAAGCGGCTTTTACGAAATCACGGGGCTGGCGGTCCGAAAAGACCGTCCACGACGGCGCTGCCAACCGGAAGTCCCGAAAGTTGCAATAATTCTTGTTGAGTAATCAAAACACCTCCTTGAGGTTGTGCCTGCATAATTTCCTTTTCCCCCTTTCTGGCCTCTCCTGGTTCTTTCCTTCTTCTGGTTTCTGGAGATGGTGGGTTTCCAGCCTTTAGTATGGAAGTGTAAAAGTCTCTTGCCTTCCAAACTGAGTTGAGACGATGTCTCTCACCCAAATAATTCACCACTAATCCGGCTGGAGCTTCCCATCTGTACTTCAACTGACGCCTTCTAAGTTCATCAACTAAAAATGCATAGTCCTTTCGAGATCTCAACATTTGGGGGGGAATTTCCTTCATTACTAAAACCTCCTGTCCTGCCACTTGAAGTTTCTTCTTATAAGAAACTTGTAAAACTCCATTTCTTGTTCTCCTTGTAACAAAATAGATCACAATATCTCTTGGTAGTTGTCTCTGTTTGGCAATCCATGAATTAACATGATAAATTTTGTCTATTTGCCAGTCACACTCTGCTTTAGATTCTCCAGTAAACTGAGCAAGGGCTTCTGCAAAAATCTCTCTGAGATTTTCCTGGTTATTTTCTTTCAAGCCTCTGACCCTCACTATCGCTCTGTATTGTGTCATTATGAGTTCTGCTTCCACCTTTTCCATCTTGTTTTGAGCCTCTCCCAATTTAGCTTCCACATTCAAATTAAACTGATCAATTTCATCCACCCTTTCTTCCAGTGATGTAACATGACCCACCAGTCCCTTAAATGCTTCCACAATATCTTCTCTTATTGCATCATTTTGGGTTTGAATTGTTTCTTTAATTTCAAGCAGTTCCTCAGACACTTCTTTAATTTTTTCCTCAAAACAAAGTGTGATTTTTTCTTCCAAATCAGTAGACAGTTTCTTTAAAGCTCCCTGAAGAACTTCTAGTGTCAGTGTTTGTGTATCTGGTGGGGCTAACAAAGTCTGCATTTTTGATGTTTGAGCTGGAGAAGTCCCCGCACTTTTAGTCACAACAGTTTTTATTTGCTTCGCCGCCATCTCCAAACTGCACTTTCCCACCAGCCACTCAGCAGAACCAACAGGTCTTCTTAATCTCAGTCCTTAATAATTATTATGGCTTATTGATAAGTCAATATTGTATTCTTTAATTCCAATCCTCAAAATTCCCCAACAAGGTCTTTTAAAAGGTACTGACAGCGTTAATGAGTGTTAATGAGTGCCAACAAGCACTTTCTCTTTTAACTTTCATTTTCATGCCCTTAAGCAACTCAGCGCCATCTTTTTTAAGCTTTCTCCCATCTCAAGGTCTGAAGGAATTAGTAGTTTATTAGAGTTAAAGTTTAGTACTTGCAGTTGTGATTTCTCCTGTCTTTGCTCTGCCTGCTTTAAAGTCCAATCGATGTGAAATCATTTAGTTCGCAGGGGTGATCGCGGCGCCTTGTTCTGTTTAAGACAGAAACATCCCGGATCCGGAGCTTCTTCAGGTGCTTGGGGAGCTCTCACCCTCCGCGCCCCAGGATTAATCCTGGGGGTCTTGGGGAGCTCTACCCACACCTGCCTGCTCACCTTCCCCTCTTCTCCTGAGGGGAAAGTTCCGGGCTGCTAGAACAGCTGATTTTCGCTGCTCTGGTGGCTTTACGAGATCGCGGGGGTTAGCGCTCCCAAAGGAGCTGCCGCCGCCACCTTCGGTGCCACCGGAAGTCTATTAACTGATTTTTTTGAGCATGAGTGGAGTAACTGTTATTTTTCCTCATTGATAAAATAAATTGACTCTTCTAAAACAAGTACTTGGTTTTTCTTGCATATAAAAAAGAATGTGTAAGGGAAGAGCACTTTGAACCTTTGAAGGTTCATTATTGTCTGGTTATAGTTTAAGTGGGCTACCGTGTGCTTCTAAAACCAAGAGCCTTGGTACTACAGTGGTTTAAAGCACCCTGTTATTAACACAGCTGCCTGCAATTTACTGCTGGTTCGAATCTCTCCAAGGCTCAAGGTTGACTCAGCCTTCCATCCTTTCTAAGGTAGGTTAAATGAGGACCCAGTTTGTGGGGGCAATAAGCTGACTTTGTATAAATATACAAAAGTATGAAGGCTATTGCTTAACGCACTGTAAGCCGCCCTGAGTCTCCGGAGAAGGGCGGCATATAAATCAAATTAAAAAAATAAATAAATAAATAAATAAAACAATTTAAGGCATTTCCCTAAAATTGTATATTACAAAGAAAAAAGTACTCTATATGTACTTCTATGGAGGTATGAAAATAACCATAAGAGGATGTATTTGAAAGTAGTTTTATTTTGTGAGTAAGGCACTTACTCACTACTGACTAATTTCTACAGTGATATTATTTACTGTTGTATCTAAAACAGTTAATTACTGGTTAGTAGCAATAAAATGTAATCTAGCCTTATCTGGGATTAAAGATTAGAAAACAATGGAATCATGATCAGAATATGTGCTGCATATTTAATAATTATTAATTATAATAGTTTTAGTGTGTTTTTAAAGGTGTTTTATTTAAAAAGCAAAAGGACTAATTTTTATTTAAATATCTTTAGAGAATTGATTGAAGTGGGCTGTGAAGATGCAACATTGGCTTTTAAAATGAAAGGTTTGGTAACGAATGCAAATTATTCCATGAAGAAGTGCATCTTTTTATTTTTTGTAAATCGTAAGTACAAATATATTCACTTCCATATTTTCACAGAATGTTTAAGGGATATTTTCACTCATTAAAAGTCCATTTTTGTTATAACTCCATCCTGAAAACTACTTATTTTTTTCTTCCACATAGTTCATCCATGTGTTGAAGTTAAAACAAACTTTTTAAAAAATAGCAATGACTATAGCGGTGAATCTTAATGAAATAGCATGATCTGAAAATGCAGAAAAAACTTCCATGTTTTTGCATTACAATAATCAATCTCTCTAGATAAATGCAATTAAAAAAAGAAAAGAAAAAAATTGTGTACATAACCCTTGATGTGTTTCTGAAAGCCTAGTGTAGTCTTCAGCTAATTATGTAACTTGGATTTGAGAAAACAAATAAGGTGATGAATCAAGGTATAAGTTGATTTGATTTAATATAGTTAAAATCAACTATATTAGAAGTATAATTTTCAACCTACATTGGTTTTCCTTAATATTTAATTAATATTGCTCTAGCACAATGATGGCTAACCTTTTTGCCATCGTGTGCCAAAAGCGGGGGGAGTGCAGGGAGGTCGCGCCCCTGTGTGCCCACACCCATCATTCAGTGCGCTCTGCCCTTCACGCATGCGCGCGTGACACCCCTGCGCTCCTCCCGCTTTTGGCACGCAATGGCATGATAGGCCCAGTAGGCCCGTTTTTTGCCTTCCCCAGGCTCTAGACGCTTTCTTGGAGCCTGGGGAGGGCAAAAACAGCATTCCCCATCCCCCCAGAGGCTGGAAATGGCCCATTTGCCAGACTTCCGGTGGGACTAGAAGGCCCGTTTTTCGCCCTCTCCAGGCTCCAGAGCCTTTCTAGGAGCCTGGGGAGGGCGAAAATGGCCTTCCCCACCCCCCTGGAAGCCTTCCGGAGGCCGAAATAGCCTGTTTCCCGACTTCTGGTGGGCCTGGAAGGCCCGAAAATCAGCTGGCCGGCGCTGAGCTAGGGCAACACTCGCATACCCACCGATATGGCTACAGGTTCGCCATCACGGCTCTAGCATAAGGAGAGCCTAAGGATGAAAAACTGTAAACTATGGATTGACAATGCACCAGTTAAAGAAATCATAAATAAGAAAAAAAGTCACAGTCATAGCAGAATCATTATGTTCAGTGATTTAGAAAGAAATATAACCTGTTTACCAAATAAATAGATCTTAATTAAAATATAATTTTGGGCAAAATAGATCATTCTTTTTATAATGAAAGTTCTTAACTGTCATTAAAACAAACAGATCTTGGTTCCAAATCATTGAGTTTGTATGTCTTTAAGAATATTTGTTGAATGTGATGTCATGATTAATATACGATTGTTAAGAACATTTTTACAATCATAAAATTAATTTTTTAATTATATATTTGATATAGGTTTTTTGAATATAAAGGCTAAGCTTATTCAGAAATGGATATAAAAATGATAATTTGGAAAAGTAATTGAAACAATTTTTTCTCTTTCCAGATCGATTGGTAGAGTCAATTGCCTTGCGCAGAGCGATAGAGACTATATATGCTGCTTATTTACCCAAAAGCATGTATCCATTTTTATATATAAGGTAATACAGAGAAATACTTTTGCTGTTGAAATTCAGTTTGGAAAAGGAGACTTTCCTTCCTAACAATCTAAAAATGTAAAGGACCAGTGCTTGATATGTGAATTTGCCTGGATAAGGATTACTGAATGGAAATTAAATCTGCATAAGAAGGGGATTCTTCTGTACAATGGGAAAGTTTTTGTTTGAATGTTCAAGAGTTTTGGTAGAAGTAGCTCTTCCTTTACAAACAAGTGTAAAGGAAGTGTGTTTTCTGGATCTGACTTAAATTTGGAGTTTCAGATCCCAGCTATGACCTGAACCTCTTTGCCCAATTAGGATTGGTGGACCAGCACTTTTTTTTTTTTTTTTGGAACCTTACTAGTGGTTGTGATGGTTCATGGGTATCTGTTGCTTTGATTATTGTAAGGTCTGCAAATATGAGCTTATCTTTGAATACCATTTTGCACATTTCATTGGCTGAAAATGTTTTAGCCAGGCTTCAGTTTTATCTATTGTCTGCCTGTCCATTTCAAAGCACAATTTAAAATTTATTATTAATCTGTAAAGTTATAAATAACTTGTTATTATATTGTGAATATTTCTGCTGGTTCTCTTATTCTCAAAAACTATGCTTGCTACTACTTCTTATGAATAAATAATTCAAAAGACATTTTTTTCTATGTGAACTTCCAGTTTCTACAGGCTCCTTTTATGGGAAGTATACCACTTCTAGCTCATGAAGTAAAATATAAAAATATAAAATAAGCATTTAGGACAGGTCTTTAAATTAAACTTCAATATCAAATGTTGAGAACTTCTGTCTTTGCTTGCTTATTGTGCTTAACCATCTTCTGTTTTCTTTTCTGATTTCCTTAAGAAAAAAGTCCAGGAAATAAATTACAGTAAATGAATGTTATTGTATTAATGTTGTATCTGTGTTTGTTTCAAAATGCACAGTAGGCTATACAGTAAATATCTCTCAGTTATGTGTTTAAAGGATTATTATGATTTATATATTTCTGGTTTTGAAAAAATATATAGCACCACAGTTCTGGTTCTGGTTACAACGCAAATTCGCAAATTTGAAATCAGACATGTCTTTGATCAACTTACACTTAATGTTCTCAAAATGTTTTATAGTCTTGAGATTGCACCTCGGAATGTGGATGTGAATGTGCATCCTACAAAGCATGAAGTTCATTTCCTCCATGAAGATAGCATCCTGGAGCATGTACAACAACATATAGAGAGCAAATTGTTAGGTTCCAATTCATCAAGGATGTATTTCACTCAAGTAAGTGGATTCTTTTATCCCTAAAGGAGTAATGATATATGTTTTATTAATAATAATACTATGAAAATCATTCCAAACTAGATTTTACTATGTTGTGTATGAGAAGCACTTCTCTTGCTGGATATTTGCATAGCTGAGTGCACAATTCAGTTTAGAGAAAGTTCTTTGAGGGGTCCTTGGTGCGCTCTGAATTTGCTTGTTTTCTTGCAGATGTTTCATTACCCAAGCTAGGATGTTATCTAGTTTGGGTAATGAAATGTCTGCAAGAAAACAAGCAAGCTCAGAGAGCACCAAGGACCTCTCATTTTAACCCTGAGCTAAATAACATTCTCCTTTATTGAGGTTTTTTTTAAATATATATAAAGAATCAGTATTGCATCTTATGACAAATCATTGAAAATCTGTGGAATCACTGAAAATCCAAATACTGTATTTTTCGGAATATAAGATGCACTTTTTCCCTCCTAAAAGAGGCTGAAAATTTGGGTGCCTCTTATACTGCAAATGTAACCCCGCCCACCCGCTGGCCCCCACCCTTCGGCCTCTGCACGTCCTCTTCCTGGCTGCAGAGATTGCCACTGACAGTGGCTTGTGTTTTTGGGCTTCGTGCTTCGGATTTTCAACCTCCAAACGCTCCATTTGAGAGCCCTTCAAGGCTGCAGGGATCACCAAAGCACATTGCCATCAATTGCCATCCAAAAACATGACGCATTCGGAGGCTGAAAATGTGACATGGAAATGGCTACCCGGAACAGCTGCTGCCTTCTCTTACCCCTTCCGTGCTTCGTCTGCTTTAGTCTCTTGAGCTCCCTCCGACGATCAGCTGTGTTTATGAAGCTGTTTTTCAGCCCCAAAGCAGCGCTTGTGAGCGAAGTGATCTTCCGTGCTTTGCCTGCTTTTCTAATTGCTGCTTCCTCCACTGATCAGCTATGCGTTAGAAGGTGTTTTTTAGCCCCAACCAGCCCCAACCTCAAAACCAGCAAGCAAACTAATGTGCTGAAGCTGACCAGGCTAAGGATGCTAGCAAGATGAATACCTGGTAGGCAGATTTTTTTTTTCCTATTTTCCTCCCCAAAAATGAAAGTGTGTCTTATACTCTGGTGTGTCTTATATTCCGAAAAATACGGTACATTATCTTAATATAAATTAATAATTTTAATTGTGTGATAGGTAGGTTAAGGTAGGTTTCATGTAAGGCAGAGCTTGGAACAGGACTTTAATTTGTAGAAACATTAAAGTATTCTTTCATCATTATTTATCTGTAATGAAGACATTGTTACCAGCGATAACCGCCCCTTCCACTGAAGTTGTTAAATCACTGAAATCTTCAGCTACTCAAGGAAGTGAGCAGATTTATGCTCATCAGATGATCCGCACTGACAAACGGGACCAAAAATTGGATGCTTTTCTTCAACCAGTTAATAAAACTAAGAATGCAGGGCTTGTTGTGGCAGAACCGGAGGACAGTAGAAACATGCAAAGTTGCAAGGCTATTGGAGTACAAGATCTTGAAATGGAAGAATGTGGTGATTTGAATTCAAGTGTTTCAAGAGCTGAAGAGACACCAAAAGGATCAATGGAAAGCCAATCAATGTCTATTGAGGCAGTACCTGAAAGGTAAGAGATTTTTTTTGTACAATGCTATATTTTTTTTTTAAAACTTGTTCTCTTTTCTAGTTACATTAAAATCAGAATCTATATGCTTCTAAGCCTTTGATAGAAAAAAAATGAATCTTGGTCTAGATTCTTTTTAAAATTCTTTAATATTTTCCCGGGCTACTTAGCATTATCTATTCTGATAAGTATCCCATTTCTAATATAATTTATTTCTTAGGTCCTCTTCCAGTGGTTTTCTGATGAAGTAAATTTTCATATACTCCCATAGAGATAGTTTTACATTGTAGACCAGGGGTAGACAATTAATTTTCCCAAGGGGCTGCATGAGAAACTGGAACTGTTGTGGAGGGCTGCCATTGCTGCCCCAGTGCCTTCCCACTGCTATGGGCCCCTCAGGGACAGTCAAAAGGTCAGATGTGCTCTTTGCTGTAACATGTCCACGTCTGCTGTAGGAGGATATATTAGGTTTCATATATGCTATTGCGATGACCTGGGGCAAGCACAGAGGCAACACAGTCAGCTGATAGATCAAATTGCCCTTTTATTGCTCCAACTTTCCTCCAAACACTCCCACATTATGGCTAGTCCCAGAGCAAAATGATCACACACGCATAGACACACCTCCAGCAGCCTCTGGCTGCAAGTTGTCCAGCAAAACTCTGTGAGTACAACGGCTACAGAGTAAGAAATCCAGTGGGACAAGAGAACAGGAGCCTGAGTGGCACAGCAGACAGTATTTAGCTTCCAGCTGCCTGCAATTACTGCGAGTTCAATTCTCACCAGGCTCAAGGTTGACTCAGCCTTCCATCCTTTCTAAGGTAGGTAAAATGAGGACCCGGTTTGTGGGGGCAATAAGCTGACTTTGTATAAAATATACAAAAGTATGAAAGCTATTGCTTAACGCCTTGTAAGCCGCCCTGAGTCTCCAGAGAAGGGCGGCATATAAATCAAAATAAAATAAAAATAAAAATAAAAAAGTCAATGAGTCCAGGAAGCAAAGGAACATAGTAATGGTTTCAGGAAGCAAAGGAACAAGGCAATTAATCCAGGAAGCAAGAAATAAAGCAAGAAGTCCAGGAAACTCAACGTTAGCAATGGCACACAAAACCCTATGAATTCAGTGTTAGTTCCCAACAAACACCCCTCCCTACAGCGTCTCAAGTCTCAATCCCCAGGTGTGCCTTGTGAAGAGGGGTGGGGCGCACTCTTCCTGAGTCATTGGGTCGGCCTACGCTGTTTCCTCCTCCTCTCTGTGCTCGGGGATCAAGAGGGGGAAGTTCTTGCTCATTGCCTGAGCTCCATTGCTCGTTTCCACTGCCTGCCCTCTCTTGGTTGTCCTGGCCCCATTCCTCCCTGCTAGCAAGCTGTCCCACTCCTGAGGGGGCCTGGCCTGTCTCCTCCGCACATTCTTCCGAAGCCAACAAAACTCGGACTCCCTCAGCTCCAGCTTTGGCTCATCTTCCTCCGCAGATTTCTTTGCCCGTCTATCCAATACTAATTTAAAGTGTTGATACTAAGCAATAGTTGCTGAAATAGACAGCTTAGATCATTTGGGAAATACAATATTTTTAGTGAACTTATTTTATTTAAATATTTTTGTGTTTTATTTTTATTTATTTGTGTCAAGTTAGTATTGAATCCTGGCAACTGCCTGAACAAGTCCCTGAAGATTTCTTGGCAAGATTTTTTTAATAGTTTTATTTATAGTTTTTTATTTAACATCGATAAATGCTTAGTGGACAGAATTTCATCTCTTATTGACTTTTTGGTAAATCTTTCATGCTTCTCCCTTAGGATCTTGTAATTTCTTACATCACATTTATTTAATCTAAGTATTTCATCTACCACAACACCTATCTCTTGCTGTTGGATCTCTAGAGTACACATCCGTAGTTCTTTCATCATTTTAAAGAGAAGTTCCTCTTTATTCTCTTCTATGTTTTGAACTCTTATGTCTATTCCGTTTTAAAAATTATTACTATCTCTTCCATATCTTTATCTGCTTGCATCATTTTTGGATTTATATCCTCTATTCTTTGCTTAGCTCCTTCTGGTTTCTCCTCTATTTTCTGAATTTTTTGTCCATCTTTTATTATTGTTTGCTGGGGGTTTTCTAGTCTTACATCTGTATCCTGCATCAATTCCGTCATCTCCCTATGATTCCTTGTCATATCTTCCTGAGTACATTGAAACAATAATGATATTTCTTTATAAACCATATTTGTTTTTCCCTATTGAAACATTTTGTTGGATTGTAATGGGCTAATAGTTGCTCAATATTCCACCAAGATTCCAATATCCCAATTGCCCCAAAACACCAAAAACGCCAATATTAATAAAATGTATACAGTCCCAGAACTGTTCCTCAAAATCACTTAAATATATAGTGCTTAAAATTTTCCAATTTGCATCCTCTAAATTCTTCAAATTTTTAAGTCTTGTTTAATTTTTCTTCTCTCTTCTTTCCCTTTCACCTCATAGAGTGTTCTTTGGCCCACCAAATTTCCCCAAATGTCTTTAATCCACAAAATCAAATGTTCAATTTCAAGGATGTTTCTTGTTAATTATAATCCACGTTGCCTTAAAAGTTTTCAGAAGGCTCACTAAATACTTCCAAGCTGCCAAAAACCCAGTAGATACGGAACCAAAACAGCAAGTCCTTCCAGGTGTTATTTGCCTTTCACTATTTCCTTTGTTTTCCCCTTGTTTTTCTTGTGTTCTCAATTAATCAATTAATCCTCACTTGCCAAGGTCGTTTCCCACCGTTTACTAGTATAATATCTACTTTCACCAGTAGGTGGCATTCCCACTCAAGGTTCCAGCATTAAACAAAGCAAAGATAGAACAGCTGACTGTCAGAAAAAAATTGAGGAAAAAAATATGATTCCTTTTTTTCTCTTATTTTTTTCTTAAGTTTTTATTTTCTTTTATCACACACAAATAATTCATTTTCAATTGAACAGTGTGTTGTCTGGGTACAAATCATTTTAGGAAATAATAAAGTGTTCACAACAATATTCCATCCATTAATATCAGTTCTATTAGTATTAATCATCATCATCATCATCATCATCATATTTGTTTAATCAAATATTCCTTATATCACTGATCCTTCCATATATTTCCCTGTTTCTAGCTCCTGTTTTTGTCAGCTAACAATTGATAAAATAAGTCCTAAGTCAAAAAGCATTCATTTCCTTAACTGTAAGTGTTAGCTTATCCATTTCTGCACATTCTAATATTTTTCTAATCACATCATCATCTGTTGAGATCTCTTTACTTTTCCATTGTTGTGCAAATACTATTCTTGCTACAGTCAATACATGTAAAATCAAATATATATTTCCTTTGTTATACTTCTCTGGTAAAATGCCCAATAAAAAATGTCTCTGGTTTCCAATCAATATGTTTTATCATTTTTTCCAGCCATGAATGTATTTTTGTCCAATATTTTTTCATTTTTTGACATGTCCACCACATATGATAGTATGAACCAGGTGTCTGATGACATTTCCAACATTTTGCAGATTTATCCTTAAACATCTTTGCTAACCTTGAGGGCAGAAAATGCCATCTATAAAACATTTTATAAAGATTTTCTTTGTATGCAGTTGTTGTTGTTGTTGTTGTTGTTGGTTGCGGAGTCATGTCCGACCCATTGCCACCCCATGGACAACTTTCCTCCAGGCATTCCTGTCATCTACCATCCCCCGGAGACCATTTAAGCTTACGCCGACTGCTTCAGTGACTCCATCCAGCCATCCTATTCTCTGCTGTCCCGTTTTTCTTTTGCCCTCAATTGTTCCCAGCATTAGGCTCTTCTCCAGTGAGTCCTTCCTTCTCATTAAGTGGCCAAAGTATTTGAGTTTCATCTTCAGGATCTGGCCTTCTAAAGAGCAGTCAGGATTGATCTCCTCTAGGATTGACTGGTTTGGTCATCTTGCAGTCCAAGGGACTCACAGGAGTCTTCTCCAGCACCATAGTTCAAAGGCCTCAATTTTTTGACTCTCAGCCTTTATTATGATCCAGTTTTCACAACCATACATTGCAACTGGGAAAACCATAGCCTTGACTATAAACACTTTTGTTGGCAGGGTGATGATTTATTTTAAGGGGGTAAATTCCCCAACAGAATTTGGAAAAATCTCATCCAGATCGATCACACTGTTCCTCAAATTCTATACTTGCTGCACCGGTTGGCTGTCACAACTCCGGTCAGGCACGCAATGGCCACCTTTTTCTTCCCGCTGGATTGAGAGTTTCCTCCGCGTCAAACAAGGAGTATACTGTCTTCGCAGAATATCCTCTCTGTCTTCGTCACCCTTCCAGGGTGATTTGGGTCCCTCAGAACCTCCTGGCAGGTCAAATTCGGTACAGAGCCCCATGGAGATGCATCGTATTGCCGTGATGTCAGTCCTGCCTCCCAAGATTCCTTTTTCTTTATACGATTTCTTCCAATAATCAAACAATGTTATCCACAGATTAAGTCACTTTTCACACTATTACAAGTTCCAGTCCGGGATTTGTATATTGTAAAGTTTCATAATCTTCCATTAAAAGTTTATTTCACTTTTGGGTTAATTCGCCGCTTTCTTTTTTTTTTTATAAAAAGTTTTTTATTTTTTCTCTTCATAACAAACATATCATTGATCAATCAGTGCGTCATCTGGGTACAATTTTTTTGTGTCAACATATTTAACGCTTACCACCATTTTTTTAATATGTACATACCGTATTTTTCAGAGTATAAAACGCACCTTTTTCCCTCCTAAAAGGGGGTGAAAATTTAGGTGCGTCTTATACACTGAATGTAGCCCCGCCCACCCACTGGCCCCCACCCTTTGGCCTCTGCCTCACAGCAGTTACCTCGTTGCAAGCAAACAGCAAGAAAAAACAGCTCCTTTCAGCTTCAGCACAGCCTAATTAGCACAAGTTGATTAGATCGGCCTCCTGACTCTCAGCTGATTTGCTTTCAGCTATTTTGTGCAGGGCTCTGCTGCTTGCTGCAAAGAGGTAAATTGCTGGAGCAGATTTTTTTCCCCTTGTGCTAATCAAGCTATGCTGAAAACGAAAATGAAAGTAAAGCAGGCTGTTTGCTGCAATGAGGCAAAATTGCGCAGAGGCAGAGGGAGATTTCTTTTTCTTCTTTTCCTCACCAAAAAAGGTAGGTGCGTCTTATACTCCGGTGTGTCTTATACTCCGAAAAATATGGTATCTTTATTTTTCATTTCAATTTAATTTCCTGTTAAAGCATTTTCCTTCCTTTATTTAATTTTATACCACTTTTTGTCCATATTCACTTTCCATCCAATGATAAAATTGCCCCCATATATTATAATACCCTGATTCTTCCTTCCCTTTAATTGCCAATGTTAATCTATTCATTTCTGCACATTCTAATATTTTCTTAATTATCTCTCCCTCTAGGAATTTTTTCCACTTTCCAATTTTGTGCAAATACAATTCTCCCTGCAATTATTACATGAATAATCAAATATATGTTTTCTTTGCTAAATTTCTCAGATAAAATACCCAACAAAAATAGGTGTGTGGTGGCATTTCCAACATTTAGTTGATTTATCTTTAAACATTTTTGCCAATCTTTCCAGTGAGATATGCTGTCTATAAAACATTTTATACAAATTCTCTTTATATGTTGTTGCCATTGTTAATTTATAGTTTCTTTCCCATAGCTGCTACTTTTATCTAATTCTATTGCGTGTCCAATTTTTTTTTGCCCATGCTATCATTTTTTTTACTAGTTTTTCTTCTAATTTAATACAAAGTAACTATACAATTTTTTAATTATTCTCTTATCTGTTCCTGTGAGTATCTAATCCAATTCTGTCATCTCCAAATAGAAACCAAAAACTTAGCATCTTTTTCATATCTCGATTGTATTTGCAATTGTGTGTACCAAACCATGTCAATCCCTTGTTCTTCTAATTCTTGTTTCATATTCAATTCCCCCTTTTCTGATAAAATATCTTTATATCTAGTAATACTTCCCATATTGATAATATTTGGATGTATTAATGCTTCCATTGTTGAAAGCCATGTTGATATTTTCAGATAATGTTTTTCTCTCTTCCATACTAATAATAAAGCATAATGTCTTTGAAAATAACTATGTATCTTATTCTTCCCATACCATAAGAAAGCATGCCAACCCAGTTGTAAATCATGTCCCTCCAATGTCAATAACCTTGTATTTCTTAGTACAGTCCATTCTTTCATCCATGATAATGTTGCTGCCTGATAATATAATTCCCAGTTTGGTAGTCCAAACATTTTTTTATGTTAATTCTCGTTTTTTTCCCTTGTCATATAAATTTCATTGTTATTTTATTAAGATTTTCAAAATATTTTTTTCTAATTTTATTGGTATTTTTTGAAATAAAAACAACAATCTTCGTATTCATCTTAATTATTGCTATTCTTCCCATTAATGATAATTGTAAATTTTTCCATCTCTCTAAATTATCTCAATTTGTCTTTTCAATTTATAGTAATTATCTTCCTTAATCGTTATACATCTTGCTGTTATTTGAATTCCTAAATATCTTATCTTTTTAGCAATCTGAATATTTAATTTTTCCATTAACTCTCTTTTCTGCTTCTCTGTGATATTTTTCACCAATATTTTCGTTTTGCCTTTATTAATTTTCAGCCCTGCTACTTCTCCATATTCTTCTATTTGTTTTATTAATTTTGGCCCTACTTCTTGCGGGGCCTCTAAAATAGACTAAATTGTCTGCAAATGCGTATAGCTTATATTCTTCTTTCTTAATTCTCATACCTTTTATCTCTTCATTTTGTCTTATATTTCTATTTAATACCTTAGTGTTAACACAAATAATAATGAGGATAGAGAACCTCCCTGCCTTGTACCCTTCATAATGTTAACCTTGTCTGTCATATCTCCATTTACTATCACCTTTGCTGATTGCTTATAGTAAATTGTTTTGATCATATTTATAAATCTCCCCCCAAAGTCCATAGTCTGTAATAGCTTTATCATAAATTTCCAGTTCACATTGTCAAACTCCTTCTGTGCATCAAGAAACATCAACACCATTTGTTTTTCTGGATGTGCTTCATAATATTCCAAAGTATTCAAAATTATTCTCATGTTGTCTCTAATCTATCTCTTAGGTAAAAAACCATTTTGATCTGTGTGTATAAATTCATTTAACAGTCTCTTTAATCTATCAGCCATTATTGATGCAAATATTTTATAATCCGCATTTAACAGGGAAATTGGTCTATAATTTCTTATTTGTTGCAGGTCTGTATCTTCTTTCGGTATAAGAGTAATATATGCCTCCATCCAAGAGTTTGGTATCTTCGCTTCTGCCAGGAGTTCATTAAATACTTCCAGCATTGTATTGCTTATTACATCCTGTAATGTTTTATATAACTCTGCAGGCAATCCATGGGCCCAGCGTTTTACCATTCTTTTGTTTTTTGATCCCCTCTGTTAGTTCCATCATCGTTATCCTTTCCTCTAATACCTTTTTGTATTTTTCTGGTATTTTGGGTAGTTCATTATTATTATTTTATGATCAATACTTGGAGTTACAAGAGGAGGAAAGACTGAGAGAGGAAAGAGATTAGATATCAGGAAGAAACTGAAAGAAAAAGGAAGAACAAACGAGAGATGGCAAAGGAACGAGAAGAAAGAGCAATAAGAGAAGGGGCAAGATTAAAAGATGTAAAAGATAAAGAAAGAGCCTTGGTAGCACAGTGGACTAATGCACTGTTATTAACATCTGCTGCTTGCAATTACTGCAAGTTCAAATCCCACCAGGCTCAAGGTTGACTCAGCCTTCCATCCTTTCAAAGGTAGGTAAAATGAGGATCCAGATTGTGGGGGCAATAAGCTGACTTTGTATAAATATACAAAAGTATGAAGGCTATTGCTTAATGCATTGTAAGCTGCCCTGAGTCTCCGGAGAAGGGCGGCATATAAATTAAAGCAAAAAAAAAAAAAAAAGATCAAAGAGAGACAAGAACGACAACATCAGCAAAAGCTATTAACAAACTATGGAAGAAGAAATAAAAGCAATATCAATAAATATAAACTGACTAAATTCGCAATAAAAAGGAAAAGAACTCTTAATAAATTCGACAAATTAAAAATGGATATAATATGTTTACAAGAAGTGCATATAAAAAATTTTTTGGGGGGGAATACTCAAAATTGGGAGAATTATTTACTGCACTGACGCATCAAAGAGAGGTGTATTCTTATGGTGGAATTAACAACGAACTATAAACAAATACTTTTAGTGGTGATATATGCCCCAAATGATAATCAAGAAGACTTTTATGGAAAATTACACAGGAAAATAATAAAATTTGAGCATGAAAATATCTGCATGATGGGTGATTTTAATGCAATAATAGACATTGATTTGGATTACAAAACTACAAAGATAAAAAGGAGCCCAGGAAACCTCTTCCAAAAGTCTTCTTTACAATGGTGGAGGAATTAAGTACGCAAGATACTTGAAGAGCTAAATATCTGAAGGTATATCTGAAGCAATATACTTTTTATTCAAACAGGCACATGTTGTGGTCTAGAATAGATATGATGTGGATGTCAATCGATTTATTAGCTAATGTACAAGATATAAATTTTGAAACAAGGACATGGGCAGATCATAACCCGATTACAATTATATGGAAGGGGCAAAGAAAGAGATCAAGATGGACATTAAATCAAACAATATTAAATGAAAAAGAGTTTCAACAATTTATGGAGAACTGGTTTTCTTTTTCAGAGAAAATAAAAAGGAAGATACCCCATTACAAAACGTGTGGTTACAGCGATAGCATACATTTGAGGATTGGCATACTTATTTGGGAAAAAGGAACAAAAAGAAAAGACAAACTCAAAAAAAATTGGAAGAGGCGTATAAGAAATTAGAGACGGAATTAGCTGTTTTCTTAGCATTTTGGAGTCTTCTTCTTCTTTTTTTTTTTTTTTTTTTTATTTTTAATTGCCTAAGGAGGGACTAGAACTCTTATTTCTAGCCTAGTGCCTTAACTACTACATCAAATTGGCTTTCTATTAAATCTATTTTATATCAAATTATTATAGCTCCTGTATATAGAGGAGGTACTATTCTTCATTTTGTAATATATGTTGTTCTATTATCCAACCAACATTTTGTGTTTAATAATAATTTGAAAAGTAGATTGAGCACATACTCCTGCCTAATTGGGATGTAACTTCAGTCCCTTGAGTGAAAGTTTAACTTTATAGGGTTTCTTCCTTTTATACATTTAATTGCTTGTGTTGTATTTTTAAATTTTTGACTTGGTCTTGGAGCTTAAATAAATATTTTTATTATTTATTTAAATATTATTAAGGCAATATTTTTAAATCAGCAGACACTATTTGTTTTCTTAAATGGGTTCTTTGAAAGAGATGTTACTCAGTTTAATTTCTCTTGCAGAAAGAGGCAGCGAACAGATCATGGTCTTGAAATGGAAAAAAATCCACAACAGGAAATGGCTGCTGCCTGCACTCCAAGAAGAAGGATTATTAATCTAACCAGTGTATTGACTCTTCAAAAAGAAATTAATAAAAGAGCAAATGCAAGTAAGTTTGTTTATTTCTTTTTGCGACTAGTTTCTTACACTGCCTATAACCTTTTTCAATAATTCAGCAGGAAGGGAGGACTTCCTGCTGAATTTGCTTGTAGAGTGTGTGAATGTGCTATGCTGGATGGAGAGGTGTTGCTGGTGATGAGAGCTGGTAAAAATAAAATGCCTCAGAATGGCCAGCTTTCCCTTCCAAGGATGTCTGCTGAGGACAGTTGGTGGCTCCAAGGTTGGGGAAATCAGGGCCTGGGAAATGAAAATAGGGCTACTGTTTGAGGATTGGAGTCAGGTCAGAATATTATGGTAGCAGTGGAGAAAATATGGTGGGAGACAGGAAGAGCATTGTCTTGTAACAGTTCCACATTCCAATTCCTTGATCTGAGCCCCAATGCCCAAACAGTAGCCCTATCCCCATCCCCATTTCCCAGACACTCATTTCCCCAATCAGCTGCTACTACAGAATGACAGATATGTCTTCATCACAAATTATTTTCCAGTATCCTTACGGAATTAGCAGAATTATCTGTTCATTATTAGTTTATAAATAATTGTTATAAATTATTTATAAAGTATTTTATTAAAATTATTATTTTTTTCTAAAGACATCATAAAGTTTGAATGGGTGTTCATATTGAAAGATCTGCAAAACATTAGCCTAGAAAGCAAAGTTTGATTCATATTCTTGAGCTACTGATGAAGCAACAGGGTTAACAAGTTGTGTATTTCTGAGCAGCATAGTAAGAGCTTAATTCAGAGACTAGATTGCAATTATGCTGTTTATGCATTATGATGTTAGTCTGAAAACAGTCTCATGATGTACTTTTAGATACAATTTATTATCAATTTTGTAATAAATTTTTGAATAGAGAATCAATCAGAATTCTGTAAATATTTTGAAGGAAATAAAAATAGCTTGTACATTCTTCATATGAATAGATCTTAGTTCTAAGTTTGTATGTTTCAGAACAGAATATCCATGTGATAGAAATAATCTATCAATAGATTATTTCTATCTATCTAGATTATTTCTATCTATCTATCTAGAAATCGAGCTTGGCTGGCATTCAGTTGATTACTAACATTACATCTTGATATACAATTACTAGTGATTTATTATTTTGTCCTTCATATTTTTCTCCTAATACAAATAGCCAATATATTAACATTGTCAAGTATTTTGAAAAATCTGGATTGGATTTTAAAAGTTTATAAATAGATATTGTTTTAGTTGAGTTGAATTTAGAAATAGGCTTAAATATTTGCTAAACTTCAGATTTTTGGCAACAAATTCTTATTTAAATAATATATTTACTTTTAAACAGAAAAATTTAAAATTTGCAGTCAGTTTTACAAATGGGACAATTAAAACTGGATTCTTGGTTTCATATATTTTAAAAGTAACTAAAGTATATTAGGTAAATTAGGAATAAATAAAATCCATAGTGATTTTTAAAGAGCAATATTATTGTTAATTTTGTGGGATATCCTAAACTTAAATAAACTTGTTATTTCAGGTCTTCAAGAGCTGCTTCGTGATCATTCCTTTGTTGGATGTGTTAGTCCTCAATGGGCATTGATTCAGTATCAGACAAAACTCTATCTTCTGAATACCACAAAACTCAGGTGGTAGTCTGTTTTTTGTCAAAACAGAATTGATTTAATTACCTGAAATAGGAAATAAATCTTAAATAGATGTTCTGGATAGCAGCTTAGCTTTTGCAATTTGTTCATAGTCCAGAAGATGGGAGAAAGCATGGTCCAATTTAAGCACAACTTTATTTTGAAATAATATATTGAATAGCACTTGAAGAACATTATCAACATTTTGTCCTACGGGTATATATGTGACAAATATTAGCTTCAATATTCTGCTAAAATAAGTTGATTTTATATATTGCTGACCATTTGATCATCACTTATAATTCATAAATTAGAATATAATTTGTAATCTAATGATTTCATGGTAAATCTTAATATTCTGTAGATGCTAAATATATAAAAGAATCTGCATTTAAGAAACTGATTTTTGTTTTCTTTTGATTCAAGTCAAGAAATGTTCTATCAGATCCTTATTTATGACTTTGGAAACTTTGGAGTTTTAAGATTATCAGTGAGTATACTTTGGGGGGGGATTTAAATTTGATACTTTACTAATCCTTTTAAAGATAGTAGTTATTTTTATACATTTTAGACTAGCATATAAGACATTCTGATTTTGTAAAGCAAAACAACAAATTCAGCCAGAGATCTATCTAGTCCTGATATGGGCCAATGGCAAGAGGCACAGAAGAGTACAGAAATGGTCACCTGTTCCCAAGTGCTGACATTAAGTTACCAACTCAATTTTCATCAAGTCTTGTCGGTATAACAAATGTTTAGGCATGAGGCTTACATTCCACAATGTGTGGAAGACAAATGTGATTTCCACATGCTCTGTGAATATTTACATGGTCTGTGTTTTTTGGATGATTTCAAATTTTAGTGTTATGAATGAAATAGAAACTTCTTTTCCTACCTTATTAGCTCAGAAATATATGAAAATCTTTGCCAAAATATTTTTGAAAGATCAAGAGTACAGAATTTACTGGATTTCTCTTATTCTTATTCTTGTAAATATTGTATTTACAAAGTCTTTTAATGCTTTAGCAAGATTTTTCCCTCTATTTGGGGAGTGGAAACTGCAACTTTTCAAATACTATGGTATATGGTTGCTAAAACAGCCTGAGTAATAGCAAAGGGTACTGGAAATTTCACAGATTTCCACTTCCAATAATGTTATGTATAAGAATGTTTTTCACTTTCCAGCAGCAAAGAAATTTTGGGCCAAAGTCAAAAAATGGCTAGAGAAAATAACACAACAATTAATAAAGGGAGAACCAGAGACATTTTTGCTAGGGATCTTTACAGAAAATTATACAAAGGAAATAAAATATTTAATAATACATATATTAACAGCTGCCCGTATAGCTTATGCCCAAAATTGGAAAAAAGAAAATATACCAACAGAGGAGGAGTTGATAAAAAAAAAAAAAAGGAATGCGCAGAGATGGATAAATTGACAAAAGAACTCAAAGAAAAAGAAGATACAGAATACTATAAAATTTGGTATAGATGGTATGAGTGGTTGGAGGAAAGGAAAAATGAAGAAAAAAAATAAGGTGAAGTTAAAGAAATGTCAAAAACAATGGAAAAAATTGGTAAAATACAATTTAGTGATTGAAATGAAAAAGAGAAATATATTGTAAATGAAATGATGGGGACAGGGACTTCCGGCGGTGACGTCATCGTGTTAGGGGCGAAAGGAACGGCTCTCCGTTCTCCAAGTCCCTAATATCGCTGATCTAGGAGCCGATTTAGGCACTATTGACCTCGGATAGGTCAATAGAAAAAAGGGGAAATTCCGAGGACCTCGGGGAGGACAGCAATCCCCCCGAAGGTTCAGGAAACCCCCCTTAATCCTGATCGGGGAAAAACCAGCCACCCGGCTGGCCAGAAACATTGACAGCTGACTAAGAGGGAAGCGAAAATCAAATAAAGAAGACTTCGGTGGAAAGATCGGGAAAGAAAAAAGTTCAAAAGGTATATTTACAACCCATAACGGGAAATTCGAAGGCGGAAGAAGTTAAAACTCCAACTAAGAAGCTAGATAGCGGCGACTGAGAAATAAGCGGAGACGGCTTCCATTTTGACAGTGACAGCACACAATTTAGGAGCCGGCGAAAGCGGAGGAAATTTAGGAGGAGAAAGCAAGCCCAGATAAGCTTTGGATTTCGAATACACAGCCACAGAGGAGAGACGGAATTTAAGGAGAGAAAGGGGGTTAATTTGACAGACTTTGTGGAAGCGATAATGAGACATTTTACAAACATTTGATATCGGAAGAGAGAGCGCCAGGAAAACTTCGTTTAAAGTGGAGATCAGTGTCTTTTGGAGATAAACTAAATTAGTTTAAGTAGAATATTTTTCTTGGGACTCTTGGACCTTTGGACCTTGGAGATTTAGAGGTTTGGACCTAAGCTTCGGGATTTGGATTATTCTACCCTTTACTCCTTTTCTCTCTCTGCTGAAAGGTGGACACTTGGGGGTTTTTGAAGCTTTGGTGGACATTGGACACTCAATCTAAAAATATTTGGACATTGGATACTGGACTTTGAACTTTGGACTTTGAACAATAAATAAGAAATAAGAAAGATACAAATTTGGGAAGAAGAGAGAGAGAAGAGAGTGATCCAGAAAAAAAGAAGAAGAAGAATCAACTGTAAAGTATAATTAATTGTATTAAAAGCTGATAACAAATTAGTGATTAAGAACTATAGAAGGCATTAATATTAAATGTATTGTTTGTGAAATCTATATAATCTTATATATTATATAATATATACTATATATATAACTGTTAATTTAATTTTATATTTACTCTTAATATATAACTATATTTATCTTAGTGCTATATTTTATCTTGGTAGTTAAATATTATATCTCGCTACATGTCTAGCTTTGAAAACTATATCAGACAGATTAATTGATTTTAGGATTGAAATTAAGGTAATTGATTTGATAAATACTAATTAATAGTACTTAACAATTAATTTAAATAAGATTGTAAATAACCAAATATAAGGAGAGTTAACTGATGAATTGCTGAAGTATTAGACTTTTCCCTCGCTTCCCCCCCCCTTATATTCTACCCCTATGCTTAGAGAGTAATACAGACTAGACAGTTATTATGAATTGAAGATCTCTGTAAAATATCGAAAAAGGGAAAATAGAACTTATAGATAAATTTACATACAGATAGTGATAGTGTGACAGGGGAACCTATCCAAGTTGCTTATTTTCTTGGGATTACCGGGACTATTGAAAGCCACTAACCATACAAAAATCCCAAAAGAAATAGAACAACCTAAATAGAAATCAGTATATGAGATTCTGGGAGAAGATATTAAAAGAAATACAAATGGCAACTACAAGCTCAACAACAATCTCTAAGTTAAGTAAGAAAATACCATCAAGCCAGATGATACTTACGGCCTCCCCAATACAACAAAAAATAGCTGAAACCACGGAAAAGGATAAAGCAGTTCCCACCCTTAGTATGCCAAACATTCATTCCATATTAACGACGATCCAGGAAGGAATGAATAAAATGCAAGAGACTATGGCCCATAACCATGAGGAGACAAGGAAAAATCATGAGGAACTAAGGATGGATGTGGGAGAGATAAAGGATAATATTAGGAACATGGACGAGAAGATAGGAAAGATACAACATAAAATGGAGGAAAATGAACAGAGGATTTGTAAGGTGGAGGAGAGAATAGAATATACAAATAAGAAAATGGAGAGGATGGAATATGACCAAGCAGCTACAAATAAGGATCTAGAGGACACAGTATCATATCTTGAGATGGAGAAGGCATCCTTCTACTTAAGGTTCCAGAATGTAGAAGAGCAAAAGGAGGAGGACTTAGGGGAAATCATGACTGAGATACTCTCTGAAGTGACCCAGAGGAACAAGGAAGAGATTCGAAGTGGAATAGACGAAATCTATAGAGTCCACACGAACTACGCCCGGAGAAATAAACTGCCAAAGGAAATACATATCAGATTTACAAAAAAATCCTTAAAAGAAGAGATCTATAGGAAGATGAGAGAGGATACAGCTATGTATAAGGGAAGAGAGATTTTAACCCTCAAACAGATACCAAAAAGGACGAGGGACCAAAGAAGGAACTACAACTTCTTAACGGCACAATTAAATAAATTTAAAATAAAGTTCCGCTGGCTAATACCGGAGGGTTTACTAATTTCCTGGGAAGACAAAAAATACAGAATTGATAACGTAGGAAAAGCACAGGACTTCTTTGATCAACACTTCGCGCTGGAGGAGGAGCAAGAGAGCAGAAAAGAAGAGGGTCCTAAGAGGCAAGAGGAACGGCGGACAGAGAAAGAAGGAAGAGACCAAGAAGAGGGGAGAAGATTGGAAAGAGAAAGAATGGAGAGAGAGGGAGCGAGGGAAAAGATGCAAATGATACTTAGAAACAACAAAAGATTGCAATCAACGGATAAATAAATAAAGAGAGATGGAAAAAGAGCTAAAACTCATCTCAATCAACATAAACGGACTTAATTCACCAGCAAAAAGAAAACACACATTCACAAAACTTCAAAAATTAGAAATGGATATTATAACACTCCAAGAGGTACATATTAAAAGACAGCATCAAAAACTATTGGATAATCAAAGATTAGGAAGACTATATGCAGCGCTTGGAGACCAAAAAAAGAGAGGAGTCGTAATATATGTGAAGAAATACCTAAAAACAAAACAAATATATGCAGACACAGAAGGACGTTTCTTAATAATAGAAATACAAACAGAATCCAAAACAATACTATTAATATCTATATATGCACCCAACGTAAATCAAAATGATTTTTTCAAAAAGCTACACAATATAATTAAAGACCTGGAGTACGAAGCTATCTGTATGGTAGGAGACTTCAACGCAATCACGGACATAGAAAAAGATTACCGAAGTACCAAACAAAGTAAAACCAGAAAGAAAACTCTACCGGAATCCTTCAAGGATATGATCAATGAACTACACCTGCATGATGTATGGAGAGAGGCAAACATGCAAACGAAACAATACACATATTATTCAAACCCACATCAGTCATGGTCTAGGATCGACATGGCCTGGATGACTTCAGACCTCAGAGAGGAGGTAAAAGATATCGAAATAGCAGCAAACACCTGGGCAGATCATAACCCCATTAGAATAATATGGAAGGGACATCGAAAGCAAAGGAGGTGGATGATGGACACGGGAATAATAAAGGATAAGGAATATATACAGATGATCGAGAAAGAGGTTAAAATGTTCCTACAAATAAACACTAAAGAACAGACATCACTTCAAAATCTTTGGGACACAATTAAAGCATATATAAGAGGTCTTACAATCGCGTATATGGCAAAAAAAAACAAAGAGAAACATCAGTCAAGGAATAAGTTGTTAGAAGAACTCAGAACATATGAATTAGAATTGCAGAAGGACCCCCAAAACAAAACAATAAAAGCAAAATTAAACCTTACTAAACATA